TTTCTTTTTTTAGTCAATGACTAGTTATTTTCCAGCAAACTGTTTTGTTTACAAATGAGAAACATGCATAAGATTTGAATAAGCATTCATAGGGAACATTAAAATTTCATTCTTTGATTAGCCTGTGGAAATTCTCAGAATTTGAATTTTGTTGGTCAGTTGTGTGCTAGAGGACATGACAAGGCTGTTACTGGATGTCAGCAATAATATTTTTTTTACTGCACATATTATTTCTTGTGAAATTAGATACATTGTACCTGCAGATGTTTGTAGGCATGGAATACAGTACACTTTCCTGAGTCTGCTGCCCCTTAAAATCCAGAAGTCACAATTCACAAATTGGTAAACAGCGGCAATGACTCCTAAAAAGAAAATAACCTCCCAACTAAGTCTGCATACGAACCAAGTGGCCCATCAGGTCAGAGCTTATCCTGGTTTCTGTGACATGAAGTGACTAGGGGCTACTCCCCCCTGGATGGAATGCTAGACCATCGCAGGGTTACCCCCAGCATTAAATTTGCTGGTACCCATTTGTACACCTGGGTAGAGAGAGGCACTCTGAGAGTGCTAGGGCTCAAACCCTGGCCGCTTGATCTGGAGTTGAGTGTACTAACCCTTAGGCCACCATGCCTGCACAATCGTCCAACTAAGCACTGTAAGAAATGTGTGGAGACCTGTAGGGGGAATTTGTATGTCAATCCCTCTTGAGAATTTAAGGGTTAACTGGCTTGTTCTTGACCACACTCCTTGTTATAAACATACTAGCGTTCTGTCATGGATGCCATTCTCTGATTGGCTATGCTACTCACTATCTATTACGTTGTAGATAGTGAGTAGCCTAGCAGAGTGTTGTTGTTAACTAACTGGCTGCTACTTCTTTGCATCTTTGAAGTGTCTGTGAAGAGGATTTAGATAAAATTTTTGAACGACTAGTAGATTTATACTAAAACAATTAGATTATTTGCTCTCGATTTCTTTTGTGATAGTTGACTTTGGCTCTGCCCTCGTTAACTATCATGTGATAGAAATCTCGAGCTCATAATCTAATTATTAAATACATACACCGGAAAAAAGTAGTATCATTTAAATAATTATTTTATTCAATTTCCTACCAAAAATATTTATGTCCTAAGATATTTTACCAGCATTGCACACACTCTGATGATTAATTTGTTACTCAAGTTAAATCAAGATAAGAATATTGATAAAAAAGTTTTTCAGCATTTGATTTCTCCCATGCTATCCGTTGCTTTGTAATGAGGGCATGCTTCTCTCACTATCGACTCCATCCCAGTCAGACTATTTTATTTCTCTTCGCAGCTAATAAAATATAATGCCTTTTTGAGTTATAAATAATGTAGGTATATCAGCACGTTTTTTATGCTGTTTTTTTTCAGAAACAACGTTTACTTTTTTTAGTAAAAGTGAAAATACGGCGAGGTTTCTCGAAGGCAACCAGAAGGAAAATAGTACCTTGTCTGCCAGTTAGATGCTGAAATCAGAAATAAGGCTGATTTAGCTTCGGAACTTTTCTCTTCCTACGCAAGTGTTTCTTCTGTTATTTGCAGCCTCAGTCATTGCAGTTAATGTGTTTGAGTTCCAGTCCTTCCTTAGGATCAAAAGCCCCAAGTAGTTCATCACTTGTGATCACTTATGGCTCCTTTGGATTTTTTAAAACTGCTAGGTACTGAAGACAAGTCTTGTCTAACAAGACTTATAAATGATTTTTCTTTTGGTTGCTTTAACTTCCTAAACAAACATGTTATTATGTAGTTTGTTTTTCCATTGGTACCAGCTTCACAATGATGGCTAAAAAGCTTTAAATTATTGCGCGGGTAATTTCTACTCCTATACATATTAAAAATACTACTGACTTTCTTTGTCTGCATAATGGCAGCATTTAGCTGCGTTTGTAACATTTTCCAAATATTTTATCGCGTGCTTATAATTAACGTGTAAATAAACTTAATGCTAAGATGAAATAAATGAGCGAGTGTTCTTTAGACATAAAAAATCATGTGGTTATAACAATTCTAACATATTTGTTCTTTGTTGTTCTGTAAAAAACAAACAAACAAAGAAAATTCGGAAGACCAGGGCTTGGATATTAAAACTTCTTTAAATTAGGACGATTTTCGACTCTCGATCTATGAACTGATAGTTTCCTGATCTCTTGACGTGTACTTCAAAGCCATATTAAACCTATTTTTCACATGCTTGACATACTATATTTTATTCTTATCACCTTAGAAAAAAATGCTTATGTCTTGGTTACCACATTACACTCGAGCAAAATTATCGTTAACGAATTGTGTTATTTTTTCCACGAGTGACTCTGAAATGTCCAGTGCTTCTTGTGCTTGGTCGGTGGTGAAAGCATCGGAAGGGATCACATCATTGCGATGGAAGTGAGGGTACCTGGTCTGCTCATAGTAATTCTTGAGTTTAGCGGCCAGGAGAGGAACGTCCTCAGGAGACCCATTCAACTCTGTTATCTCATAGGCAAGGTTCAACACATCATGTGTTTCTAGTTGGCTCTCGGCAATGCCACAGGCTGCGTACAGGGCACTCTTGAACACTTTTTCGGTTGCTTGTTGGCATAAGAAGCAAACTAAAGCAGGAAATTTGGGTACTTGAGCGTGTAAATGCTTAGCCGCATTTAGATCTTCTCTGGCTTGTTTCATCCATCGCTTTGCTTCGTTTCTCTGAGGGTTGGTCGACCGCTTTGAATACGGGGATCCCTGGTGTGTTTGCTGCTTAAACGTGTCGTACGTTTGCCTTTCTTGTCGAGCACGCTGGTTCCACTGGCTGAAGAAATCATGGAAGCCCCTGGCTCCGTCTTGTTTTCCTTTTTCCTTGGCATCTCGTAGATTATCTCTCCAGGAGTTAGGAAACAGCTTTTCCATTCTCTCTATTTCGTTTAGCAGGAATTGCATGACATCATGGCTAATATCACAACCGATATTCTTATCTGGATGCCATCGAAGAAACAAACGTTTTATGACCTTTCTTCTTTCATTTTCCGGTAACTTCCAAGCTTCCCATAGGGTCTCTTTGATTTCTTTCTTTGCACTCTCAAGGCGTTCATTTCTGCTCGCCGCTCGACGCTCTGATTCCTTGGGGTCTCCAGTGAATAATGTCACTTCACGCGAGTCCGAGAGTTCAGGTACCGCATTGGGCACTTCAGAACTTGATCTATCGAACTTGTACAGGTCAAGTACACTGACTTCAACAAGGCGAGGCTCTCCAATATCAATGCGATATTTAGCCTTGAAGTTAAATCTGCTTGTCTCCATGGACCGTTTACGATTTGGTACTTTCCTAACTACTTTTGCGTAGACGTAGAGAGGTTCACTGTCATCAATTCTGCCATCTTCAGTTCTTCGCTCTTTCTCGTAGCCAACGATTTCACCTTGTCGAAAGAAGTACTGGATATCTTGCCTGAGAAGATAATGATACATAACAGGAATCTCGGATCCAAGAACAGGCTCCGTCGTCCGCGCCTCGCTTCCCATGAGATCTTGAGCTACGCCACATCTGTCAAGTGATGGAAGTATCTCGTCTGGGACCCTGCATGCAAGCATTGCCTGAAGATAGATCTCCTTCTCGATTTGGTTATGAATTAAACGATTCACCTGAAAGCATAGTTGGATGTGGAGGGGATTTTCGTCAGTGCCATGCCTAATAAACAACTCCCATTCCCCATTCTGCTCTTCTAAGAAACAGTCTTGCATTTCGTTACTGTGCTGAAGCGGGCGGCCAGATTCCAGGTGTATCAAGTGAGTGTCAAGTGATGCCATGCACGTCACACTCAGGGAGCTACAAAGGACCTGTACTTGTTCTTTGACTTCCTGCGGTAGATTGGGAGTTTGTCTCTGATGGCGGATAACACGAAGAATCCCATTCACTAGCTTAGGAGAAAGCAAGATGTTTCGATATCTGTTAACGAATGGGCAGGGATCTGCGCCAAGAGAGTTGTCTACTATGCACCGCTTATCTCTACAGCTCGGATGTATCTCCTCCCGCAGCAAATTCTGGATGGTCTTGGCCCTGAGACGCAATGGTAGAAGACCGAGAAGGTACGATAGCCGATCTGCAGTTAACTCTCCTTCCCGACTTATATCGACAAAATCGCCGGCAAAGTCTCTTGCACGCCGTTCAAAGCTTGGACAGTCGTGAAAAATTAGTTCGTTTGATGGTTTAAGAAAACCGTCCTTGCTGGGTAAGTACAGATCATTTAGTAATAGCAGATATCTCGTTGCTGCTTCTTCGCTTTTTTCTTTCACTAGCTGTGACAGAGTGGTAAAAAATCCATGCGTTGCCTCCCTGGCCACTCTTTTCTCGTTAGGTTCCATGTGCTTGTCTTCGCAAAGCTCCTTCAACCTTCCCAAGATATCGGCAAACTGTAATGGCGTTGGTTTTTCATTTGCTCCCAGTCTCTTGAGTAAGTGCTCAAAATGACCATACTCCCGAGGTACCTTGTAGAAGAAAGGTGGCAGTTCCGTTGTGGTCTCAAACGCTAGCTGATTCCCCTCCACAAACACGCGGCCCTCTTCCACAGGAATGCATGCCGTTTTCATGAGAATATTGCCAACAGCAAGACAAGACTTGTTGCATCTTTCAGACAGTGAGGTTCCTGGGCAATTGCATTCACTTTTCAAGAAACTGAATGCCTCGTATATGACGTCATGAAGAAGCTCCCTTTGGTCCTTTGGGGTGTCTTTATGAACATTTCCACTGTGTGATTTTGTCAGAACAGCAACGTGATTGATAACTTTATCCAGCGGAGGCAGAAGGGAAACTCCGAGGTCTTCCAATACTTGTTTTTCGGCAGTATTTGGAGTAGCCCAAGTTGGAAGAAGGGGAACGCAAGTCCACGCAAGTTTCTGCTGTTCACAGGGTAAGGCGCCATGGAACTCGGTGAAAGGTGGAACGTCTTCCTTTTTAAGGCAAGCAAGTTGTGGTTGTAGGGCTTTCAGTGCGTCTGAGGCAATCTCAGCTGCCACAAATTTGATGCTGGAAACAACATGTAGAAAGCTGGCATCATGCAAATCATCTTGTTGAAACAGACATGTCACGAGTGTTTTTGACTTCTCCCTTATTTGGGGATCCCTGTACCTGGCTTTTGCTTCAGAGGCCAACGATTCGGCAAACTGAAGGAATTCCTGTTGTGTAACATTGTGCTTCAATCCAATCTGCCGAAGCAACGGAAGCCAGTTTGACAGTCGGTACTCTCCTGGTGGGAAATTACTCAGAGGGACCATTTCTTTGAATACAGGATTCTCAGGATCGTAAAATTGGCTCGCAGGAACAAGTCGGTTACTGCCATCGTGAAAAATACAGGCTTCTCGAAGAGCATCGAGTAACGTGGTCCTCTCACTTGAACTCTTCAAGGTGACAAGGAGTGTGTCCCTGATGTACATCAACACTTCTTGAACACCTGACGCTGAGATTGCGTCAAGATTTGGCAGGATATACTTCACAAAGACATCTACTTGCGTAAGGTGGCTGATGTCCAATGCCTTGTACAGAGGTTCAATTTCTTGAATAGCTTCCAAGAGCACACAGCTTTCTTTCTCTACACGTCCTTCAATCTCTTCCAGTGAGACGCACTGTGGCAAGTCAACAACATATGAAAAGGCATACGAATCAAGACTGACAAGTCTACCATTCAACGTGTTGTACAGCGGAAGCTTTTTCAAAAGGGATTGGTTGCTATACACGGTGGTTACGTCCTCTTGCAGGAATCTTAGGAGAGTCACGATTTCTGCTTGTGCAAGTTCGCATTTAAATACATCACCTTTGGACAAGTAATGTAAAATACTGACCACATCTTGTCTTGAGTATGGCTTTGCGAGGTGGGGTGATACGATCAGTGATGCATCATCTTTGTTTATTCGTGAAAGAACTGTAAAATCCAGTTGAGCACTTCCAAGCTTGCACAGAATTCTTACCATCCTGTCTTCATCGTAAATGCGGGTACTCAAATCCAACACGGTTTTACCGAGGGACACTGGCGCAAGGGTGCCATTAGAGGTAGGGATAATGGGCCAGTCCTCGAGTGGACGAAGAGTTTCGGTTGCGTCTTCTCGGTCTTCAAAGCTTGACTGTCGCTCTTGGTATGTTGTGATAATCATTTCCCACAACGTTGTCAACCACTCAACAGATGGTACACTATTTTCGCTTGGTTCCCATGGAACTTGCTTGTCGGCCGCAAACCACCTTGATGGAAGGATTTGGATCAGATATGGCGCAATCGATTTCGTGTCAAAACGTTTGAAGATTGTGGATTTCCAAATGTCATTTCTTGGAAACTTGGAAAACAGTGGAGTGAATTCTCTATGGACAAAGAGGTCTTTCTGTGAAGACACTAGACTTGAATGTGGTGTGAGGAAAACTGGATTATTGGAATCAAATTTTCTTAGTACTTCGTCGTCGGTAAGAAGGAGAGGCAACCCATTTAAACGTTGTAGGAAGTATTCATCCTTCATGCAGTATTCCATCAGTAGTTTGAGACAACTGGCATGTTTAAAGGTGGTATTATCAATTGAACAGGGAAGCACATCAATGTAACGCGTAGCTTTTGCAAGGAACGCCAAAACGATGTCGGGACTCACGGTTTTTACAGTTGCGGTTGCTTCTTTAAAATTTGAGTAGATTTTCGGCGAAGCCTTAACGATTGGAACGCCAACCTTCAATAGCAGTTTTTCCAGGTCTGGGTTGGAAAGGAGGCTGAAAAATGCTTGTTGTTCGTCTTTGTCGCTACAGGGTGGAACCCACAAGCATGGACAGAGTGGTTTTGTGCCATACTTACTAAAGCTACGATTGGGAGACGCAACATCAATGAGCGGTGGTTCCTCTCTGATAATGGGAAGTACAGGTTGGTTAGAGCTCGCTAGCAGTCTGTACACGGTTGTGGCAATACCCTTCCATTCAGTGTGAATGCTGTCTGGTTCAGGAAAGATGCTTTGGTACCAGTTCAAGCCACTCGTGGAATCAGTGATATGATTGAAGTACCATGGATCTCCCTGTGAAATTCCAGGTATGTAGGCCCTTGCACTGACAATCAACTCCACATAGGCTGGTGCTAAAACGTGGTTCTTGATGAAGTTGTTCCACTGAGTTCTCTGACCCTGACCGCCTTCATCTTTCCAAAGATTCCGTCTAGAATTATCAAGTATAAATTGCCCATTAACTTGAACAGGGAGACCTGTTTCAACCGGTAACGGGAGGAAGCAAAACGCGCGATGAGTCTTGCTGGCTTGGTTGGTTTTGTGCTCACTTAAGGAACGTCTTCGTCGTGATGGCATATCATTTGTGGCCACACGGGCTGCCACCGCTGCTCGGGGAAGCAGACCGTACTTGTTTCCTTCTGGAATTACTGGTTTTTCGCCATGCAAACGAGAACCAAGGCACTGATGAATAAGCCATTCCTCTCTTCTTCCAAGGGTATCTTGAATGGTATTGGTGTACGTAATTCCAAACCATGGAATGCTATTGGTTTTCAGATTCCTGCATCGCATGACTTCTGCGTCAAGGGCATGGATCTTCGGTACATCTGTGGTTGAAATTTTTGCGGCTGCTTCGTATCGTCTTACTAATCTGCCATTTTCTATTCTGGAGATGCTTATTTTAGTGACACTACTGAGGAAGAGGAGGATATCGCGGATCTCACCTTCAAAAATAGTGAGCAGTTGATCAATGCTCGAAGAAGTGAAAGCCTTGGAGGAGATTTGGGACTCTTTAGCAGTCAAATCCGTTCTTATAGGAAGACGGAACATGGTAGAGTTTTGCAGTTCAAAAAACTCTTCTAGGTAGCAGGGTCGAACATCAGCAAAATTGTTCCAGAACTCTTCATCAAGCGGATCAAATCGACGTCCTGGGAACTCCATTGTTGCGTCAGGTGCGTATCGGGCGTGAGGATCGAGAACACACAGTGTTTCGCCGTTTGTAACAAAGCTTGGGCAATCAGTAATATGGTACACCGCNTATGAACTGATAGTTTCCTGATCTCTTGACGTGTACTTCAAAGCCATATTAAACCTATTTTTCACATGCTTGACATACTATATTTTATTCTTATCACCTTAGAAAAAAATGCTTATGTCTTGGTTACCACATTACACTCGAGCAAAATTATCGTTAACGAATTGTGTTATTTTTTCCACGAGTGACTCTGAAATGTCCAGTGCTTCTTGTGCTTGGTCGGTGGTGAAAGCATCGGAAGGGATCACATCATTGCGATGGAAGTGAGGGTACCTGGTCTGCTCATAGTAATTCTTGAGTTTAGCGGCCAGGAGAGGAACGTCCTCAGGAGACCCATTCAACTCTGTTATCTCATAGGCAAGGTTCAACACATCATGTGTTTCTAGTTGGCTCTCGGCAATGCCACAGGCTGCGTACAGGGCACTCTTGAACACTTTTTCGGTTGCTTGTTGGCATAAGAAGCAAACTAAAGCAGGAAATTTGGGTACTTGAGCGTGTAAATGCTTAGCCGCATTTAGATCTTCTCTGGCTTGTTTCATCCATCGCTTTGCTTCGTTTCTCTGAGGGTTGGTCGACCGCTTTGAATACGGGGATCCCTGGTGTGTTTGCTGCTTAAACGTGTCGTACGTTTGCCTTTCTTGTCGAGCACGCTGGTTCCACTGGCTGAAGAAATCATGGAAGCCCCTGGCTCCGTCTTGTTTTCCTTTTTCCTTGGCATCTCGTAGATTATCTCTCCAGGAGTTAGGAAACAGCTTTTCCATTCTCTCTATTTCGTTTAGCAGGAATTGCATGACATCATGGCTAATATCACAACCGATATTCTTATCTGGATGCCATCGAAGAAACAAACGTTTTATGACCTTTCTTCTTTCATTTTCCGGTAACTTCCAAGCTTCCCATAGGGTCTCTTTGATTTCTTTCTTTGCACTCTCAAGGCGTTCATTTCTGCTCGCCGCTCGACGCTCTGATTCCTTGGGGTCTCCAGTGAATAATGTCACTTCACGCGAGTCCGAGAGTTCAGGTACCGCATTGGGCACTTCAGAACTTGATCTATCGAACTTGTACAGGTCAAGTACACTGACTTCAACAAGGCGAGGCTCTCCAATATCAATGCGATATTTAGCCTTGAAGTTAAATCTGCTTGTCTCCATGGACCGTTTACGATTTGGTACTTTCCTAACTACTTTTGCGTAGACGTAGAGAGGTTCACTGTCATCAATTCTGCCATCTTCAGTTCTTCGCTCTTTCTCGTAGCCAACGATTTCACCTTGTCGAAAGAAGTACTGGATATCTTGCCTGAGAAGATAATGATACATAACAGGAATCTCGGATCCAAGAACAGGCTCCGTCGTCCGCGCCTCGCTTCCCATGAGATCTTGAGCTACGCCACATCTGTCAAGTGATGGAAGTATCTCGTCTGGGACCCTGCATGCAAGCATTGCCTGAAGATAGATCTCCTTCTCGATTTGGTTATGAATTAAACGATTCACCTGAAAGCATAGTTGGATGTGGAGGGGATTTTCGTCAGTGCCATGCCTAATAAACAACTCCCATTCCCCATTCTGCTCTTCTAAGAAACAGTCTTGCATTTCGTTACTGTGCTGAAGCGGGCGGCCAGATTCCAGGTGTATCAAGTGAGTGTCAAGTGATGCCATGCACGTCACACTCAGGGAGCTACAAAGGACCTGTACTTGTTCTTTGACTTCCTGCGGTAGATTGGGAGTTTGTCTCTGATGACGGATAACACGAAGAATCCCATTCACTAACTTAGGAGAAAGCAAGATGTTTCGATATCTGTTAACGAATGGGCAGGGATCTGAGCCAAGAGAGTTGTCTACTATGCACCGCTTATCTCTACAGCTCGGATGTATCTCCTCCCGCAGCAAATTCTGGATGGTCTTGGCCCTGAGACGCAATGGTAGAAGACCGAGAAGGTACGATAGCCGATCTGCAGTTAACTCTCCTTCCCGACTTATATCGACAAAATCGCCGGCAAAGTCTCTTGCACGCCGTTCAAAGCTTGGACAGTCGTGAAAAATTAGTTCGTTTGATGGTTTAAGAAAACCGTCCTTGCTGGGTAAGTACAGATCATTTAGTAATAGCAGATATCTCGTTGCTGCTTCTTCGCTTTTTTCTTTCACTAGCTGTGACAGAGTGGTAAAAAATCCATGCGTTGCCTCCCTGGCCACTCTTTTCTCGTTAGGTTCCATGTGCTTGTCTTCGCAAAGCTCCTTCAACCTTCCCAAGATATCGGCAAACTGTAATGGCGTTGGTTTTTCATTTGCTCCCAGTCTCTTGAGTAAGTGCTCAAAATGACCATACTCCCGAGGTACCTTGTAGAAGAAAGGTGGCAGTTCCGTTGTGGTCTCAAACGCTAGCTGATTCCCCTCCACAAACACGCGGCCCTCTTCCACAGGAATGCATGCCGTTTTCATGAGAATATTGCCAACAGCAAGACAAGACTTGTTGCATCTTTCAGACAGTGAGGTTCCTGGGCAATTGCATTCACTTTTCAAGAAACTGAATGCCTCGTATATGACGTCATGAAGAAGCTCCCTTTGGTCCTTTGGGGTGTCTTTATGAACATTTCCACTGTGTGATTTTGTCAGAACAGCAACGTGATTGATAACTTTATCCAGCGGAGGCAGAAGGGAAACTCCGAGGTCTTCCAATACTTGTTTTTCGGCAGTATTTGGAGTAGCCCAAGTTGGAAGAAGGGGAACGCAAGTCCACGCAAGTTTCTGCTGTTCACAGGGTAAGGCGCCATGGAACTCGGTGAAAGGTGGAACGTCTTCCTTTTTAAGGCAAGCAAGTTGTGGTTGTAGGGCTTTCAGTGCGTCTGAGGCAATCTCAGCTGCCACAAATTTGATGCTGGAAACAACATGTAGAAAGCTGGCATCATGCAAATCATCTTGTTGAAACAGACATGTCACGAGTGTTTTTGACTTCTCCCTTATTTGGGGATCCCTGTACCTGGCTTTTGCTTCAGAGGCCAACGATTCGGCAAACTGAAGGAATTCCTGTTGTGTAACATTGTGCTTCAATCCAATCTGCCGAAGCAACGGAAGCCAGTTTGACAGTCGGTACTCTCCTGGTGGGAAATTACTCAGAGGGACCATTTCTTTGAATACAGGATTCTCAGGATCGTAAAATTGGCTCGCAGGAACAAGTCGGTTACTGCCATCGTGAAAAATACAGGCTTCTCGAAGAGCATCGAGTAACGTGGTCCTCTCACTTGAACTCTTCAAGGTGACAAGGAGTGTGTCCCTGATGTACATCAACACTTCTTGAACACCTGACGCTGAGATTGCGTCAAGATTTGGCAGGATATACTTCACAAAGACATCTACTTGCGTAAGGTGGCTGATGTCCAATGCCTTGTACAGAGGTTCAATTTCTTGAATAGCTTCCAAGAGCACACAGCTTTCTTTCTCTACACGTCCTTCAATCTCTTCCAGTGAGACGCACTGTGGCAAGTCAACAACATATGAAAAGGCATACGAATCAAGACTGACAAGTCTACCATTCAACGTGTTGTACAGCGGAAGCTTTTTCAAAAGGGATTGGTTGCTATACACGGTGGTTACGTCCTCTTGCAGGAATCTTAGGAGAGTCACGATTTCTGCTTGTGCAAGTTCGCATTTAAATACATCACCTTTGGACAAGTAATGTAAAATACTGACCACATCTTGTCTTGAGTATGGCTTTGCGAGGTGGGGTGATACGATCAGTGATGCATCATCTTTGTTTATTCGTGAAAGAACTGTAAAATCCAGTTGAGCACTTCCAAGCTTGCACAGAATTCTTACCATCCTGTCTTCATCGTAAATGCGGGTACTCAAATCCAACACGGTTTTACCGAGGGACACTGGCGCAAGGGTGCCATTAGAGGTAGGGATAATGGGCCAGTCCTCGAGTGGACGAAGAGTTTCGGTTGCGTCTTCTCGGTCTTCAAAGCTTGACTGTCGCTCTTGGTATGTTGTGATAATCATTTCCCACAACGTTGTCAACCACTCAACAGATGGTACACTATTTTCGCTTGGTTCCCATGGAACTTGCTTGTCGGCCGCAAACCACCTTGATGGAAGGATTTGGATCAGATATGGCGCAATCGATTTCGTGTCAAAACGTTTGAAGATTGTGGATTTCCAAATGTCATTTCTTGGAAACTTGGAAAACAGTGGAGTGAATTCTCTATGGACAAAGAGGTCTTTCTGTGAAGACACTAGACTTGAATGTGGTGTGAGGAAAACTGGATTATTGGAATCAAATTTTCTTAGTACTTCGTCGTCGGTAAGAAGGAGAGGCAACCCATTTAAACGTTGTAGGAAGTATTCATCCTTCATGCAGTATTCCATCAGTAGTTTGAGACAACTGGCATGTTTAAAGGTGGTATTATCAATTGAACAGGGAAGCACATCAATGTAACGCGTAGCTTTTGCAAGGAACGCCAAAACGATGTCGGGACTCACGGTTTTTACAGTTGCGGTTGCTTCTTTAAAATTTGAGTAGATTTTCGGCGAAGCCTTAACGATTGGAACGCCAACCTTCAATAGCAGTTTTTCCAGGTCTGGGTTGGAAAGGAGGCTGAAAAATGCTTGTTGTTCGTCTTTGTCGCTACAGGGTGGAACCCACAAGCATGGACAGAGTGGTTTTGTGCCATACTTACTAAAGCTACGATTGGGAGACGCAACATCAATGAGCGGTGGTTCCTCTCTGATAATGGGAAGTACAGGTTGGTTAGAGCTCGCTAGCAGTCTGTACACGGTTGTGGCAATACCCTTCCATTCAGTGTGAATGCTGTCTGGTTCAGGAAAGATGCTTTGGTACCAGTTCAAGCCACTCGTGGAATCAGTGATATGATTGAAGTACCATGGATCTCCATGTGAAATTCCAGGTATGTAGGCCCTTGCACTGACAATCAACTCCACATAGGCTGGTGCTAAAACGTGGTTCTTGATGAAGTTGTTCCACTGAGTTCTCTGACCCTGACCGCCTTCATCTTTCCAAAGATTCCGTCTAGAATTATCAAGTATAAATTGCCCATTAACTTGAACAGGGAGACCTGTTTCAACCGGTAACGGGAGGAAGCAAAACGCGCGATGAGTCTTGCTGGCTTGGTTGGTTTTGTGCTCACTTAAGGAACGTCTTCGTCGTGATGGCATATCATTTGTGGCCACACGGGCTGCCACCGCTGCTCGGGGAAGCAGACCGTACTTGTTTCCTTCTGGAATTACTGGTTTTTCGCCATGCAAACGAGAACCAAGGCACTGATGAATAAGCCATTCCTCTCTTCTTCCAAGGGTATCTTGAATGGTATTGGTGTACGTAATTCCAAACCATGGAATGCTATTGGTTTTCAGATTCCTGCATCGCATGACTTCTGCGTCAAGGGCATGGATCTTCGGTACATCTGTGGTTGAAATTTTTGCGGCTGCTTCGTATCGTCTTACTAATCTGCCATTTTCTATTCTGGAGATGCTTATTTTAGTGACACTACTGAGGAAGAGGAGGATATCGCGGATCTCACCTTCAAAAATAGTGAGCAGTTGATCAATGCTCGAAGAAGTGAAAGCCTTGGAGGAGATTTGGGACTCTTTAGCAGTCAAATCCGTTCTTATAGGAAGACGGAACATGGTAGAGTTTTGCAGTTCAAAAAACTCTTCTAGGTAGCAGGGTCGAACATCAGCAAAATTGTTCCAGAACTCTTCATCAAGCGGATCAAATCGACGTCCTGGGAACTCCATTGTTGCGTCAGGTGCGTATCGGGCGTGAGGATCGAGAACACACAGTGTTTCGCCGTTTGTAACAAAGCTTGGGCAATCAGTAATATGGTACACCGCGTTAAACCCGATTCCATATTTTCCGGTCTTTTCAGGGCTGTCAGTCTTGCTTCCGATGCCAAGCCTCTGTATGCCCTCAATGTCCTGTTCAGTGAACGCACAATCATTGTAAATACATAGTGCAGGCCCTTGGAGTTCTTTCCATCGTTCCGACAGCACACGGGTGGTACCATGTTGGCGCGGGTCATGTACAAAATGTACCTCTGTGGCCCCAGCGTCATCTGCGTTTTGGATAATCTCTTTAAGAATTCCCACGTCACATGGATATGACTCCAGTACCTTTTTCAGTCGATCCGTAAGGCGTTCACTCTGACCAAATGGTCTTCCGATGCAGTGGGAATATCTATCCAACTTTTGTTCTCGAATAGTATGGGCTCCTAATCTGTGGGCTAATATCCCGGAGATGTCGCTGTGAACACATCTTTTTTGGTCTTGCTGGGGCATCCAAGGAGCGTCGTTGATGGCAAGCTCCCCCACAGGTGTTAGGACTAAATCTGCATTTGGCAAGGGAAGTTGACCCGAATAGGAACTCAGGGCACCAGTATTCATCATTGCGATCTCCTCCAGGAAGGCTTTCACAGTCTTAAACTCTTGTGATGTAAGGGGCTGACCTTGTTTTCTCTCCTCGAGGACGAAAAGAGCATCGACCATATCCTCTCCAGAAAAGGATTCCTGGACCCCAAGTGCTTTAAAGAGATCCTTGAATTTCAAAGTGAAATCTTCTGGAAGGCAGTAAAGAAAAGGAGCTCCATTGTTATTCCATGAAAAGGCTACTTGATTTGGTGTCACGAACTTGCTCTCGACAAATATCCATGGCTTTCCGCTTAAAAGGTCTTGAATCACTTGTTTGTCTGCTGTGTTGATTCGCTCTTGGAGAAATTGATAAACGGCCAGGCAAATCTTTCTTATACATTCTCTGTTGGCGGGGTCATGCGTAACCAGGCCTTGTACAGCATAATACAGTTGCAAAAGGACGTCGTTCACGGTTGCGCGATGACTTGTGAATCCTAATAGCTTAGCAACATCTTTGCCCACACGGTCACAGCCTGTCTCTGGGGACTCGTCCAAGACTGGGTGTACCGATCCTAACAAAAAGATAGAGTCGTCGCGGACAAACTCTGCTGCAGATAGTAGTTTCTGTACACCTTCCTCTGAACCCTTCCATGGCAGGCAGTACTCAGTAGGTCTAGCCATAACAGGAAGAAAATAAATCTCTGAAAGTTGTTTGCGTTGTGTTGGGCTTGGTGGAGATAACTTACACATGTTGTCGTTCAAATATTTAAGTAGGTTCCTTGATATCTGCAGGGCTTTGTCTTTGTCATGGGTGGCCAACGCGGCAATGAACACAGCTCTTTCACAAATCCATTTCCATGTCAACAAACTGTCTACCATTCCCAGCTTTTTCAATGCGACGAGTCGTTCTGGTCTGAGGAAACTGGCTCCAGTTGGAAAGATATTCTCTTCCTCAAGAAATAGGCTGCTGGCAGCTCCAGTAGGATCAATTAGGTCTCCAGGCCGAGAAAGTTGATAACCCTCTGATGAAGTCGGAATACATTGCGATTCTCGCAAAGGCTTCGCGTACTTGTGAGAACCCCGCAAATATTCATCCAGTACGTGGCATGTGATTGGATCTCTCAGGTTGTTTGGCAGTTTGGCAATATTTGGAAAAAAGACGTCACAAACAAACTTGTCAAGAGTAACTGTCTGGTCAACAACCGCTTGTTGGAGACCTTGGTGAAATGCGTTGGAAATAAATCTTGGAAGCTGAACCACGTTGTAGCCACACTTACACATTATAGGGTAGCTTTCAGGAAGCCTGGTCACATTGTCGTCCAAAAAGACGCCATCCTCCACAGATACCCACTGGGACTGACTCTTTAAAATTGGGGCTGGACTACTGGCTATGCTCTGATAAACACTGTCAGCAAACTTTGACCAAGTCTTGGATGGCGCTTTTTGTGTATCTGGCCAAAGAGTGTCAAATGGAAATTCCACCACATTTCCTTGTCGATGGAGACTAACAATTCCTTCTAGAAGTTGAACGTAAGCCTTGGAAGCAGCGTCTTCTAAGAGGTATTGGTTCCAAAGAACTTCAATCGGCTTTTGTAAAGAATGACCACCACTGGTATCTTCCCAGAGATTGCGGCGATTGGTTGTCACAGCGAAGCATCCGTTCACATGAACTGGAAAACCTGTTTCCACGCCCAGGGGTAGGCCAAGAAATGCTTCACCCACTATTGTCTCTGGTCTCCACCGCTTATTGTTGTCGTTGCCTAACAGAGCAGCAACCTCAGCTTTCGGTAGTAAACCGTTGAGCTTCCCATCTTCACTCTTTGCCATTTCCAGTGATTTCCTATTGCCATAACATGAACTTATGAACCAAACCTCTTTCGCTAGTTGATTTCGTGAAGCCACCCACGAACCGCTAGGGTAGACTTGAGACTTAATTGACACTATTCTTGATGAACTGGTACGGTATTCATGCGATTGCTGTTCAAAGACCCAGCTTCCATTAAGATCAGCTTCAAGTGAAACATGGTTATTGTTTTCCTCCGATGGTATACTGTTGTCTGGATTTCTAGTCGACGAGAACGTCTCCAATGTTTCCTTTTCCACCTCAAACACTGCATTCGGAAGTGAAGGATCTTGATCGGAAGATATCTGGAAGAAACTTATCTTACAGACATTCTGTAGGAAGAGCAACATCTTGGACGCATTTTCCTGAAGGCCCGAGATCAATTTAGTAAACTGCTGCTCGTTGTAGTACTTGTTACAAATTTCGCTTTCACTGGCCTGTCTCATCGTCCTTAATGGCAGCCTGAAAAGTGTTCCGTCATAGAAGAATGGTTCTCCCTTCTTCTCAAATGTGCATCCGAATACTCCTTGGTAAGGTTTAAACTGATCTGGAAAAGCGCCGAGTGCCACTGCGTTGCTTTTGAGATTCAGACGGATACCGGGACGAAACTTGTCCTTGATAAGGTCTCCTAAATGACTTGTGTGTGGATCAAAAAAGGCAATGAATTCACGACTGATAAAGCTTGGAAGGTCAGTGATATTGTAGACTGTACAAAATCCTATTCCAAAGCGGCCTAGCTTGTCTTGATTTCCTATTTTGGTTGCCCCAGCAAGCTTGTTGATGTTCTCAAAGTCTCTGTCTGTAAAAAGAGCGTCGTTGTATACCCACAGCGCTGGTCCTTGTGTCTCGGATAATCCAGGAGACAAGAGCTTCTCGGCCTTGTTTTTCCTCCAATCAAGTAGAAACTTAACTTCCGTTGCTCCCGCATCGTCTGCATTCTGGATTAGTTCTTTGAAGGTCGCCATGTCATCAGTGTGGTCTTTAATAATATTTTTCAGTCTAGTGGTTACTGGCTCGAATGGTCCAGTCTGCTGAAAGCCGAGGGTCTCAGTAACTGCTAACTTCCTGCTTAAAGGAGGTGTCCCTAAAAGCTGTGCAGTACCAGTGGAAATGGTTTTGTGTACAAGAAAAGCAACGTCACTTATATTGGGATCGCTGTTGCCTTGTCTCAGCCACTCGGCATCGCAAAAGCTGACATCAGTACATGGTTGAAGAATAAGCCTGTCGTCCTCCGTTTGGATGGGAATTAAAACTCTTTTACGAATGTCCGAGGGAAGAGGTGTATCATCTTGTGTCAGGAAGTCCAGAACATCGCGAGTCAGTCGAAGATCGCGCTTTACCTCCTCAATACTTCGTCTCTCTTCCGAGTGCCAGTCTCGAATCATGTACAAGACGTCTAAGGCTGATGACTCATTGAACGTCTCTTGAACACCGCAGCGCTCAAAGAAGGCGGAGTAGCTCTGGAAATCGTCAGATAGTACGAAGATGTAGGGTCGTAGATCCAGAAGACACTCGCTTTTTAACGCAATGCAGCCGGGCTTGGCGAAACCAGAACCATGCCATACCCAAGGCAAAAACGAATGTTCCTTTAGAACTAATACGGCTTCAGCTATGACAATTTCGCTGGAGAGGTGGCTGTAGACATCCTTGAGCATCGCTTGGAACTTGAGCAATTCAATTTCAGAAGATTTGTGCACTTGCTGTTGCCAAGTAGTAATAGCACCTTTCAGCTGCGCTAGGACGTAGGAAATTGGTGGCGGAAATGACCATCCGAAGGCTTTCTTGAGTTTCTCATCGAGACTTCCTCTAAGCACCGGCATAGCTGAGCCAACAATGTTCACCATGTCCGCATCTCTCATATCCTTTGGAGAGTACAGCCTTCTTGCCACACCAAACCAAGGCATAGATGTCGGATACTTGCTAAGTGGCTCTTTGGACGCAGGAAGCCAGGGTAAGCTTGATAATATGCTTCCAAGGGAAACTTTCTTCGCTGATCCGGAGCTTTCTTCTAACAGTACCTCGTATTCAACAAGGTATGAGTTGTCATTTAAGAACTGTAACAATGCCTCGGCCCTTCTTAGAGCTGACTGTTCGGGAGCTTGTGTGATCTGCTTTGCTATTAGAAGGATGTCTTTGGCTTCTAAGGAACGACTTCGCCTAAGACCCAAGAAGACTCGAAGCAAGCTTAGTGCGTGAGCTTTGGCAAACTCTTGAGCGGGAAACACGTCGGGTTCACCTTCAAAAAGCTTCTGGATGACTTCATCTTCGGGATCGTACAATTCGCACGGCGGTTTTAAACTCCCGTTTGCAACTGGAACAAACCGAACGTTCTTCAAATGTTCCGGGAAGGCTTTGTTGTCGCTTGATAGGGCAGGAAGTCTTTGGATTACCCAGAACATCAAGTCTGAAACTTGTTCTCGAGTGTAAAATCCTCCGTCTTCGATGTAAGGAAATATTTTGTCGATCAAGAGGTCTGAAGTGTTCAGGATTCGCAGTGGAAGTCGCCGCAACAGCTGGTATGAGTCATCGTCACTAGCGGAGAGTATCTGGTGCGAGCACTGGATCTTCGTACTCGATGGCAAATGCAATCGTGGAGGGGCAACGTCGAGTTTCGTACCCGACAGGGGTCCACCTGGCTGCACTGATGTAAAAGTTGTGCCGTCCAAAGCTTGAAAGATTGGCAACGTCATCAACGCCACTACTTCGTCATCAGAAGGATTTCTTAAGCTCGACAAGAATGCTCTAATGGCTACCTTCTCTTCTGCGGAACAGTTATTGAGATTGTCATTCCCTGGCTCATTCATGACCGTTGCTAATACTTTTATAACTCCAGAAGGGGTTGGTGGTTCGATGTAATTCTTTAACGCTGCATGATCACAGAATGGAGGCAAGTGGGGAAGAACAATACAGCCTGCCTTTTGAAGTGCAGTTGCCACGATCCTTGGTAAAGACCCAAAATACGACGAGCTTTGAATCACACAGTGATCTTTCTTAAGCTTTATAAGGTAACGCTTCTCCATCCTTCCCTCTGCAAGTGGAAGAAGAGGGATGGTTTCAAATGCAGTGAGATCTTTTGGAAATTCTGTTTTAAGCCATGACCATAATCCCCGCAGCCACACATCACCAGGCAAAGATTCATCTTTAGGATTCCAAGGTACCACAACAGAACTGCTTTTCCAAATTTCAGGCATACTTTCGTGAACTAACTTTGGGACAAGAGACGGTGTTAGTTTCACAAGCTGGGTGGGTCCTGAAAGTCTTCTTTCAATTTTCCCTGCGACAGAACGCAAGGTTTCTAGCACGCTTCCTTCTGTTCTGTCATCTAAGAATCTATGATCACTTCCTGGAATAAGACTTCTTGGATGACTGCGAGATGCAATCAATATACTGCTCTTTGGGTCGTATCCATGCACGTCACTTCGAAACTCTTGGAAGGTTTCATCAGCAAGAGGGAGAAGAGGAAGGCCAGAAAGTTCCGCGAAGTTACGATCCATGAGAATGAATTCTAAGAGGCACAGTTTCTCCTTCCTACTCAGACGTTCAAAGTTTACCCTGCCTTGATTACTTGGCACCCGATCGTCTCTGTCCATACCTTTGAGCTCGTAAATGTCCAGTTTTGTACTAGGGTGCAGGTCTCCAGGTGAACTTCTAGGTGTCGTTACGTTCCCACTAAACCCGTTACTATTTGGCGAGCTCAATTCAGTAGGCCGATCCCCTTTTAAAACAGCGCGCACATAAGATGGCGTGATTTCTTGAGGTCTCCTTACTCGATGTTCCACGTATTCGTCAACAGCTTTCAGAGCTTGTGAAGGAAGTGATATCACTGGTTCGTCAGCTTGGAGGAGTGTCTCAATAACTACTTCACGAACTTCGTCGCGTACTTTGTTTGGGGAACATTCCAGACGGTCCAAAACGCCCTCTTCTAGGGTAATCCATCGTCCGCCAAGAGATTGGGTCCAAAACGCCGCTTTATCAACCAGGGCTGTGAAGAAAGGCCTTAAGACAACTTTCCAATGACCTTGGACGCGATCCAGGTCTGGCCAAATGCTGTGAACTATCGGACGCAATTCCTCACTTGGGCACTGTGATTGGGTGAGCGCCACAATAAGGCTTGCATAGGCTTTGCTGACTACATTCCGTGTGAGAAAAACATTCCATTCCGCTGCGTCGTCGCTTTGGCTTTCTGGACCGGGCCACTTGAGGTTTCTTCGATTATCCGTAAGTCCAAAGGCTCCATGAATATGCACTGGCAGACCTGTTTTGCACTCTGAATCGACAGGGAGAGGAAGGTAGCAGAACACCCGTCCAGTTCCTATCCTGGTATTCTCACCAGTTGGGTGCAGTGATACTGCAACTCCTGCCCATGGAATCAGCCCAAGAGATGAAGAAAGCTCTCCCAATCTCATACTTTCATGCCCAACCCGATTCAAGACCATGAATTTGAATTGTCGCTCGTACTTGTCTGGTCTGTTGATTTCCACCGTCGTCTCATAACTCATTTCAATAGGCTTGGCAAGGAAACCTGTAGCAGCTTCAATAAACTTTCTTTTCACTTCCCTTACCGTCTCTCTTAGCTCGTCTTTGATTTGCACGGTGAAGATCTTCCTTTCCTTCTCAGTCCAGCTGGTCTCGTAGATACTTATGGTCTCCACACTCTTCAGAAAAAGTAAAATTACCGGCGCTTCCTCCATGAAGGACTCAAAGAGGCCATTGACCTTGGCCGCTGTGTACGGCTTAATCGATATTTTAGATGGCCATTTTCGTAAAGGAAGACGAAACAACGTCCCGTTAAAATATCCAGAAGAGATGTCGCAACCAAGGACATTTTCGTAAGGTGAAAACTGATCCCTGTATTGATGCATCAGAGGTTCGCGAATATCGTACCGTCTACCAGTTTCTCCTGTTCCAAAATAGGTCTCTTGCGGGTCAAGGAAGGCGATATGGTGGTCACTGATGACGCTAGGCAGATCTAAGGGTGAAAACATTATGTGAAGAAATAAAAAGTTGTATTAGAAAAAAGGTAGGGAATGCGACAGACTTATGTAAAACAGACAACAATTGCATTAGTCAAGATAAACATAGCTTGGTGTTTCTCAAATCATAGCTAATGAAAAATAAGTTCAAGTTTTCCCAAGGGAAACAGTGAGTTTTGTTTCCCCGAGACCCACAATGTTAAACCTTTTGTTAGGTTGTTAGGTGACGTTCTCGTTGCCATCGTCGTCGTGGTTTGCTTAAGTTCCCTAATATCAGTGATGGGTTTCGTATGATTTAAGTCATTATAAATCGTACCTGTCACGTGATAAACCGAGTTGAATCCAACCCCAAAGCGCCCTGCCGCCACTGGGTCCTTTTTCTTGGATCCCTGCATGATGCTCTCAATTCCAACCCAGTCCTGCGCTTTAAAGAGACCATTGTTATAAACATACAGGGCTGGTCCTTGGAACTTGGACAAACCAACGTTGACAAGAGAAGAGGTGCCGAAGGCATTGTCACGTGAATCGAACAAGAATTTCACTTCCGTTGCACCAGCATCGTCAGCATTTTGAATCAATTCCTGCGAGGCAATGCAAGCCATTAAAACAGTGTTTGGGATAATGAAAAGCAGCAAAATATTACTGGTATGATATAAAGTGTACAGGAGGTTAACGACTGGATCATATTGAAATGGAGTTTATGCAACAACAAGAACAAGAACAAGAACAACAACAACAACAACAAAAACAACAACAACAACCTTTATTTGTACTCATTGTAAAAAAACTCCGCACATTTTATAGAGAATGAAATAGAGAGCTGACTGCCTGGAATAAACCATAGGGGCTAGTGGGGCCAGGAAGTCAATTCAGATTTTACAGAGCGGTTTCTGTCAATATTGAAAACCGCTCCATAGATATCGATAGAGAAACAGAAATAAAGGTCGGTTGACTTAATTTAAAGGCAATGTAGCATTGTGCTAACAACACAAAACACCTACACCAAACACACATAGCGCTCACATAGCCAGTATCATAATTGAATATACTTACTCAAAACTGAAGATGTATGTAAAATAAATAAGATTAATCATTAATTTAAAAGGAAAACCTAAAGACAATAAAAGCATGTTTAATGTGGAAGGAAACTAAAGCTAGCAAAAGAAGGAAAATATTATAAACACGTAACTATGCAGAACTAGCATTTATTTATAAAGTTTTTACAAAAGTTGAGACAATGAGCAGTTTTGCAATTTCATCGACCTTGAGGTTAGCCCATCTTGAACATGTTAGCATAAAATTTTTAAGTTTGTTATTTGTAATCGAATCGAATCTTCTTCGTCCTGGTTGCTTTTTGGTTTATTTATAATTACTTCTGGAGTTTTCTAAATTTAAATGGCATAGCTGTCGTTGTTATGATTATTATATAGCTGTCACGTACAAAGAAATCAATGCTAGATAACTTTACTTTGTGCCAAACATGATCTGTACTGTTGAAAAAATCCTCTTGTTTGTTCTGAAACTGAAATTTTTATTTTGAACGGATATTTGATTGTTTGCATCTCTGCTCACCTGGCTTTGGCTCTTATGATAAGTTGCAAATAATTACCATAAAAATTATTTCATGACTTATGGCCGACGAAACTTTCAAGATAGTATTGCTCTTCTTTCGAGTACGCTTAAAATGTCTTACCTTAAGTATCTGTCCGCCGTCGGGATATCCCTCAAGAATCCTTTTGAGAACGACTGCAAGCGACGGTCTTCTCTGGCCATAAGACTGCCCTGGAATATTGAGCAAACATTTCACACATGTTGCATTTTCATAACATGGCGGGCTATTCGTTAGAGTTACTCGTTATTATAACGGGTATTAATCTTAGCAGATCGATATCGTAAGACCGGTTTAGATTTCCAGAATGTACTGAGGAAGCGATGTCTGAAAGAATAGATTGTAACGGGATCGATCTTAAATTTGGTGCCATTTATCAGCGCAGCGGAAATTGTTGAAGCAAAAAATATAAACCACATTTAAAAAATGCTAATCACTTTTTAAAACACAGCTAGCTATATAGGAAAGCTGGCAGATTATTTCTTATTAAAACGTTCAGGGGAGAAGCAAGAAATTCGGATTAAATCACTCAGTTTCATCATTGATTTAAAATCTTTACAGAAATTAGGTTTAATCACAATGGAACCTAAGAACGCTCGGAACGATTACAATGTTTTGTGTGCGTAAACATATCTTGACTTACTTCGGCTTCTCCGTGTTTGCGACATTGCTTGAAAAATATTCGTTCATTCTTCGCTCCTCTGCTTTCCACAGCAAGCTATTCCCAACATCAGTCGGTCCGATAGCCGAATCGTTTCCGTTTTACCAATCAAGTTATACTTTGGATAAATATTTGTTGCCCTTTGGGCTTGGTTTTAAACGACAAGCTTTCGCGAATCCTAGCTGTTGATTGGTTGTTTACAATGGTATACATTATTTATTATAAATCCTGTTTGCACCAAATTCAAACATCTCAGGTAGATCTTGGTGCCCGTCAGTTAGCGATTAGAACAATTATTTCGTTGATGTTCACTCCGTGTAAGAAGCAACATTACTAAGCAACAGTGATCAAGTTGAAGTTTCATCTAACAGCATCAATACCTTATTTAAGGAGATAGGTTATGAGAATATGGACACTGCGATCTTGTCTTAGTTAACGGTACCTCTCAATCTGTTAATGGCTTGTTTACTCGGAAAGAGAAAAAGATATAAAGTTTACAGTGAAGGAAAATTAAAAACCACTTAGTCCCAAGGAAATCTGAACTGAAGTCTTTATGGATGGTTTGCTCCGGCCAACGAAATCAAATCATTCTTCATAAATATGTCGATATACTGTTATTACTTGTAGCCAAACCCGAGATTAAATATGGCGGAAAGTTTGAACGAGTTCGTGACAGTAACAGCGAGGCTTTTCTGTAGGAGAGTGAAAATGTAGAAAACAAATCGTTCAATGTACTGACAATTATATCAGCGTGAAAATGTTAGTGTACTTCGGAGAAAGTTTGCCTTCAGTATTTTATAGTTAAGTCGGCATTGTCAAAATAATCTTAGCTGGTCTAGGTGCTTTAACACTGACACCGAGAGTTTTCATTTGTACAATTTACGTTCCATGAACTGATTCGTTACTAGAGTGATCACATCGATTTTCAAAGAAACTGAAGGATTAACTGAGCTACTCCAGCCCGCTAAGAAATGAACACTGAACAGGAAATAAATATTGCATGAGAACTATGTTGTCCAGATAGTCGTTACACTAAGGCCTCGTCCGGCACACTACACCGGAGGAACAATATGAAAACGGTGTTTTTACCCTGAAAACACATCAAATATTTTCCGTCCTCACTACGCCAGAACCCGCCATATTGGATTTGTGTTTGAGGGGGACTTGGGCAGGGAAATCACAGGATTATCGTAACTGCGTCGTTTTCTAAGAGCTTCGCGCAAAATGTATTCCGTCCGCACTAAAAAGCAAAAGACGACGCTTTTAATTCCTCCAGTTTGAAGGGCGTTTTCGAAAGGCTCCGTTTTCGTGACGGATTAGTGTGGACAGTATATGTAGCCTAACCGTAGAAATAAAGCTGCGTTTTCAAATTTCTGTGTAGTGTGGACAGGGCCGAAAAAGACCATGGGTTTCTTATGTCAGAAACATTCCCGGTGCCGTGAACCATGCTTACCTTGAATATTTGCGTCCGTGTCCATAACCAGTGCAACAAAATGTCCTCAGACACTGACGTTCCGCTCAAATGAGCACATTGCCAATTCTGTTTATCAACGAAAAGAACAAAGTACCATGATTAATGAATATAAGCCTTACTACGGTAGTTTTACATAGCGAGTTAACTCAAAGATAAGTAAAGTGATACATCTAAAATTAATTTTCTCAGAACTTAGGAAATTTGCGTAAGTGCTTAATGGGTTGATTACACTGTTTCAGCCTTCTAGAGCACTAGAATCATTTTATAGACTGACTTGTTTGTGAAACAATCAACTGTGCAAATATCGATTAAGAAGTAATCGATTACTATCTTTGTACAAATTCATGATCATAGTTAACGGAAGGAACAGTATTGGAACGTAAATTTGAATTCTTTTCCGGATTCAACCCTTTTAACTGACTTCATCAGTTATATAAACTCACTTTCTAATTCGTGCCAAGCGAATTAGAAATATACGTTATGGTTGGCGGTACATGACAAATTTCAAACAAAGTTCAACGTCTCTGTTTTCTCACCTCTCTTACTGAAACATCTGCCTAAAATTCTGTAGCACCAGCAAGTTACTGAATGCTCAAACTGAATAGTTAACATCCAGGCTAACTTTAAGTTCACTTTGCCAAGTTCATTGATCGACTTTGAAACAATCTTTAGAGCGAATAAATTGTTTATTACTTTTTGGATTGACCAATGAACAAGTTAGAATGCTCGAGGACAATAGTGGGTCCCTCTGTGAGCCCACCCTGTTTATAACAAAGCAGTAAAACAAAGAAGTTGATGGTGGCCCATTACTTTGATCATACCATACATATTTTCTTGATTCTGTAATGCGCGCGAAATCGATTGTGAGTTAACAAATTTGGTGTACATCGGTTGAAAGATGTGCCTCAGAAAAATTACAAACTGGCTTTTCAGGATCATTACACAAATAATTGCTCATTTAGTGCGAAAGTGACGAAACGTAATGGGAAGTTAACGGAGTGCTTTGTCGCCGACGAAGCACGTTATTCAGTCGAGTTTTTGTTTGCACATTTTATCCCAGAAAAATTGTGTCACCTTTAGGGATGTTAAGCTTTTTCACTCCTTTCAGTTTATCTGAAAAGAAGCAATGAATTCTTTTCACTTTTTCCCCAAGAGTTAATCGGATTAAACATGAAGCGCCTTGTAGGAGTCGGCTAAAAGTTTCGTTTCATCAAACATGTCTCATGAAAATTATTCACGCATAGCTCCAGAATTGAGTGAAATTCGTACATACAATTTCTCACGGTACTTTTTCGCATTTATTGTACAAGCTGTCGTTTTTTATTTGACTATGTGTGACAATCAAATAATGTGAAGTTATTCAATACCAGATTCACATGAATATTTCCTGATCTTAATGTAACTGAGTTCTTTTTCTTGCAGCGCGAAATCAAAAAGCTTGGCGCATTTAGCACGCCATACTGTTACAATCTTACTGGCCCGCGCCATGAAGTTTTCGTTCGAGTAAACAACACTCTGTTACGAACAACAAGTGCGAAACAACGACTGAACTACTTGTGACCTCTTGCACCTTGAAATTTCAAATCAGATCACATACTGTTTGCTCCGTTACGAGGAAATAAAAGCTTGCGTAGTTTGAAAAAACTGCCGAAGAGTAACCTCACTTTATAGTATTCTCTAAAAATGCACTTGTCTTTAGCCAAAAGCTGCTAGATTACGTTTGTTAATTTACCAATCTAAAAGTTCTTACCTGTGTCGCAAGACAGAGCCAACTCCGGTTTGACTATTTGAAAATCCGCGCACAAACTTCAATTCTCTTCAATCGTGACTTAATTAGAGTTATAAAGAGATTACTGAAGCTGGAGCAGGCATAAGGCGATGAGCTGATCACTCAAACACTTGGGGTATTTCATTACATTCTCGCCGGTTTGAAAAAGTTTATTCAAATTCCGTTTTTGTGAACGGTTATTGTACGAAGGCTTTTGTATTTACCGGCCTCCTAAGCATAAATAGTCCCCTGATAATACAAACAACGCTTGTCTGTCAAGTACATTGAATTTGAAAAGCCAGGAAGGTCGGTAAAATGTTAATTATACTGGTCTAAAACTGAGTGAGTGATTACTGACTCTGATGCTCCATACACGCTAGCCTAAAGCATGTTTGGTCTAAAACGATAATTAAGTTCAATTTAAAATGCATAGTTCTTATTGATATTTTTATGGTCTTACAACATTTCATAACTTTACGATTGTTTTTGATTTAACAAATAGATTCCATGTTGCCGTGCATCTGTTCAGTAATAGAACACAGATGACGTCAAAATGTGGTGAGAAAAAAAAAAGTGGCGCATGAGGCGATATATAGCCGAGTGGGTCACTGGTGTTCTTACCACATTTTGACGTCTTCAGTAATCTATTAAACAGACGCACGGCAACATGGAATCTGACTTGTTTTATGTAATAAAGGAGCAAAAATAATGTTAATGACGTCACGTATTTGTCTGTCCTCCAATAGATCATAAGAAAGAACCAATCAGAATGCGAGAAGAATTCGACACATCCTATAATTGTATAGAGGCCCGTTTTGAAATTCACCGATGTGATAAACTCAAGGGCCTAATAGAAACCTTGGTAGTTGATCTATAAGCTGAGCAAATCAAACTATAAACACCTAGAAATGCAGGGTGTTTGCGCGTTAGGCGCACGTGCAGAGCAGGGATAAAAACTGATGAATCTATCTATTTGCAAGTAGTTTAATACTTCAAAGTTATCATGATCATTCCTAGATAAAAGGTTATCTATCAGTAGTTTGCTTTGTTTAGTGCGCTTTTCGCATTGTAAATTACTATCCAGTGCTATTAAAAGTATATTTTAGGCAAGCATCGTTTCTTGGCTCGTCATTCATGCACGCCAGTTTCAACGTAGAAATTTTTCGAAACCACCCAGCAAAAGAAAATTTTGCGCGCAGCAAATGTTGAAATTGAAGTGTGCATCTGTTGGGGCGGCTGACATAAGTCAGGAGCCCATGAACCATGGACTCCTGTGTAAGTTCGTTCTCTGGCTCGAGGGTTAAATTTAAATATGTAATATACTTTTATTGAAAAACAAAAGGTTTTCTAATCGTTTCATATTTGAAGCTCGGGATGGAAGACCCAGTGTTTTGAACAACAGACTACTCATGTTACTTTTCTCACGTCCGCCCGAAAAACAAAACCTTTGTGTTTTGTTTTAAGAATTTGTTTTAAAGTTAATCTGAGGACATTTGCAGTTTTCAAGCTCACGTATGAGCATAATGAACAATTAATAATTGTAGCAATTCTTTTCGCTTGGCTTCTCCGCCCCAGCAATTAACATGTTCATTCAACCCAAACAACCCATTTCCGTTTTTTCCCTTTCAAAACCCACCAAAATTAATAAAGGCGCCAGCATGGGAAAAACGTTTGTATAAGACCTCTAACTGGTCGTAGAGGATATCTATGAATGGAGGAAACTGGAAGAATCTCTCAACACCAAAGCTTAGGTCCCATCCAAACTACGTGGGAGAAATATGAAAACGAAGCTTTTTTTCTACGGTTAAGCATAACGTCCACTAATTCGTCACGAAACCGGAGCTTTTCGAAAACGCTCTTAAAACCAAAGAGATTTGAAATTTTGGTGTGGATAAAATAGTTC